TCCCAGCTGCGTTTTTTGGCCTTATATGTGTATGTATTCTAAATTTAAAATATAAAAACCAACATATTCACAATTATCTCACAAATATCTCTGTTACTGGCCTACTCAGTTGTTGATTTTTAAAATAATAAAAGTATGCTATCATTCTTTGTATCACATTAGAAGTCTATTTAATTGCAACTCACAAAATTGAGTACAAAGCAGAAAATTCTTTGCAAACATCCAAAACGTTTTCAAAACATTTCATTCATCTGCACTGGTCTTAAGAAAAAATTTCCAAAATCCAAATGAAATTTTTAAAAATATTTTTTTTGAGATAAAAATTAAAAATGAAATTATTAGAGTGAAATTTTTCAATAAACACCCACACAGTTTTTTTTTATTTTGTATATTCGAAAGATCTGGACAATTTTTCCTCGAAATTGTGATTATTGTCCTTTCTTTTTTTTTGGATTTTTTTTCATTCCTAATATTATGATAATTAAAAAAATTAAAATAAGGAAAAAATATAAAAAAAAATTTCAAAATTTTTTCCCTTAAGTATAAACCTTTACGAAAAAATTTTTTTTTTTTAGATATTAAGGGAGGGAAAAAATTCAATAAAAAATTTTAATTGTCTTTTTTCTGCATTATTCATTCATACCCTTTTGGAACCACGACGGCAATCTTAGATGAAAAAAAAATCGCTTGTTATTGCTTACTTACATATTTTCTTCATTTCTTCTTTTTTTTGCGTCCAATTTTTTTTTTAACTTTTTCTCTGCTTATTGTCTTTTTTTTTCGCTTATTTTTTCTTATCCTTATTTCTATATTATCAACACAGTCCTGTTTTATATCCAATTACTTTAAATATATACAATACAATTATCTACAAACACACACACATACACAAATATAAAAAAATTTATATAGATCCATATTTACCCGTGAAAATATGTTTTTCTTAAATGAAAAACCCCGTCACCTATTTTCATCAACATTAAAAAAAAAAAAACAAGAACTTTATTTTCTTTTTTTTTGGTATTTCTTTTACTGTTGCAGCAGTCTCCATCTTTTCTTTTGCACCCTTCATATATAATTTCTTTTTATCATTGTTTTTTTTTTTAAATAATAAAAGAAAAACAGAAGAACAAGTAGAAAAAATAGCACAAATATTAAATAAAAAAAAAAAAAAATTACAAGGAGGACAAAAAATCCATTTTTATCCTTGTGTACTTTCTTAAAAACATCACAACTATACTATTTACTTCTTCTTTTATTGTGCGAAGAAAATTAATAATAAACTCGCGAGTTTTTCTTCTTCATTATCAATTATTGTCCATTTTTATACCCTGTGTATATCATCAAGGCGACAACAAAGAGTACTTACAAAAAAACAAAAAATGAAAAATAAAAATAAGGACTTACTCAAGAATTTAAGGTCCTTAATGAATTTCTTTCTTATTTTTATTTTTAATTGCAAGGTGGATTTTTTTTTCTTAGTTTTTCTGGTTTTAATAAAACTAAAAAAAAAAGACATTCATTAATTGAATTTTCGTTTTGATAATACGGAAAAAATTGTTCAAAATAAAACATTGTTTGATAAGCTTGCTTCCTGCTCTATTTCTAACAATTGTCGATGAATCTATTAAAGACAGATGACCCGATCTTCATTCAATGAAGGCCAAAAGTCAGTTGATCGAAGGTATAGTTATTTAAACCCGTCCGAAAAAATATGTACCCTTCCCAAAACTACTTGGGAAGTATATATTTTTCTTATTTCTTTTTCATGCACATTCTATTTGCAAAAGTATTTGAGAGGTCAAGCAAGTTCTTTTCGCATATTAGGAACATAAGTTGCACTTTATACAAAAATTACATTTTTATTAAGAAATTTTTTGAAAACCCTACACAAAAATGGCATAAAATTTTTGTGTATGTACGAACAAAAAATGAATAAACTAAAAACAAAATTACATAAATTAATCAATTCATTTGTAGTTGTGTACATATCCAATAAAAAATTAAATTAAATACAAATTAAATGACTTTTTCAATAAGTTTTATGCAATTTTTCGCAAAAATCAAAAAAAAATAAGTAGTCTTTGATTTTATCAAATTTTTCGAAAATTTCTATAGCTTTACATATACACTCTAGAGCTTCTGCTAACTTTAAAAATACAAATGTGTCCAAACAATTTTGTTCGTCATTATTATCTGACTCGTGATCAGAATTGAAAATTTTTTAATGTAGTATCACGAAATTTATGTCGTACGTCGAAAAAATGGCTTAAATTATATTAGATCGTAACTAGAAATGTCGTATTAAGATACGGCGTATCTCGTCTTATGTGAACTATGAAAATTATACAAAACTTTGTGACTTTTAATCCCTTCTATATATTCCTTCTTTCACAACGATTATACTCACTCCTTTCAAAACAGTTACTTTGATTATTTTATTTGCAACCCTGTTTCTGGTATCCTATTGCATACCCCTGTTCATATTTATTACTTTTAATATTCATTTTATTTTAACAATATTAAAAAAAAAAATTCTTTTTTCTTCTTTTCTTTCTATTTGTCTTTTTCTTTCTTTAAGTTCACATACATATATACATAATTTTTTAACGCCTCAATTGTAAAGTATTTAAAAAAATATTTTTCTGGACTTTTCTTAACCTAATTTCAAATATCAAATAATTGAAAAAAGTAAAGAAATTAAAAAAAAAAATATTAAAAACGAAAATAATGAAAAGAAAATTACAAAAGAAAAAAAATTATATAAATAAAGAAATAAATGAATAAAATGTAGATTGATAACTATAGGATATTTTTATTGATTTATTGGTAAAGATTCTTGAAAAAAATCTAGAGCATCTTTGTTGCATCACTCTGGTGTTTAGTATAAGTTTCTCGGTTATACTTAAATTACTGTCTGATATTTTAGTTGAAAAATTCTCGTGGAGTGTAAATATGCAGGGTGTGTACTAGAATCTTACGTAAGATTTTTTTTCTCTAATTATCCTATAAAATTTTGTTGCATTTCTTAATATAAAAGATTTCGAAATTTGTAAATTTTCAAATATTTTTCAATGTTCCCCTTACAATTCTTATTTAATTTTTTTATTAAATTTTTAGAACATTAGTTCTAGCAAAATATTGAAGAATTAATAATAATTTTTGAAGACAACATAATTAGCGATGCAATTTTTCGCAAAAACAAAAAAACAAAATAAGAATTTCTGTTCTAAATCAAGTTCAATGTCGTGATCTTTTAAAAATTGAATAGAAATTATTTTTTTCTTCGCAAGAAAATTAGTTCAGTATTAGAAAATTAATAATTATTATTTCTTATGTGAGAAAACAAAAAAAAAAAGTTCGGAAAAACTTCAGTCTTTATTTTTAGTTAGAGAATAGAACCAAAAACACAAATAAGACGAAAATGAAATCGCAAAGAAAGAAAAATATTTAAAACAAGAAAAAAAAAGTATTAAAAAACGAAAAATAAATAATAAAAAAATGACGACTGATGATGATAAATTTGAAATTGTGAAGGTTTTCCATTTCGATTTAATTTTTATTTTATTTGACAATTGTTTTTTTCCTAAAATATAACGAAGCAAAAAAAAAATCAATGAATTTTTAAACATTTTAAATGTTCGCTCATCATTCAATATGAAAAAATGAAAACGAAAATGAATTTTCAAAATGAAAAAGGTTATTGAAAAGAGAAAGAACGATGAAACAGGGCAACTATTTGAAAAGAGAAATAGCAAGTATTCTTTTTTAATTTCTTTTCTTTTCTTCTTTATTTTTTAATTATTATTATTATTCTTATTCTTTATTTATAGTGATTGAACGTTTTCAAATAAAATCGAAATGACAAAAAAAATATTATTGTTAAAAAATTAAAAAACTTTTTAATAAAAAATATTTTATTTGTAAATTTTCATATTTGTGCCTAGACACAAAAATATTAAATTGAAATTTCGTAGAAAAATATTAAAAATCTATAGTAATAAGGTCAAATGGCCTAAATCAGAATTAATAATTTCGAATTAATTAATTTTGAATTAAATTTATTGTTGTTTCAGAGAAAAAAAAATAGCAGATTCTCAAAACTAACTTCAAGTTTAGACTAAGATTGTAATAATAGAAGATTGTTCAAATCAAAAGCATTTTTTTTTCGAAATTAAACTGCATTCGAAGATATTTTTCGTCCACTTCAATACATGAGTAGCTTAAAATAAGATAAATTAAACGAAATTTTCTAAAATTTTATATTAGAAGTTAAGATAAAAGTTGAGACATTAGTAAGAACGCAGAACGGATTCATGGAATAAATCAAAATATGGAAAAATTACAATAAAATTCAAGTTTTAGAAACAACATAATACAGAAGCTAGTGTAATACAAGTTTTTCTAAGAAGAACTTAGGAAATTTTGTTTCTATACCACTGAAATTGCATATTTCTTTTTTTTTGGAATTCTTTAATTCTTTTCCGCAATGCAATAGCTAATTATGACTAAAAATTTAAATCTCTTATATATGTATATAGTCAAAAAAAGCCAATAATTTTTACGTAAATCAAAACAAAATTTAATGCATTCAATTTGGATTTAATTTCGAATTTCATTTATTTTGTGATTTTTAATTTAATTTCGTAGTCTTATTGAATAAACCTGTGTATAATGTCAAAAATATCCAATAATTATCTGATCTATCGGTATATAAACTAAGGCATTATCCATTTTAAATGCTGTAGTTGCTTTAACTTCATTATACAAGTGAATTGTCAGAAAATACGACTCTCATCTTCATCACGCTGATGCAGTTCTTATGAATAAAAATTTTTTTATATTTAAACTTTTAATATTTCTTAAGAGTTGCTATAATAGCTAACTTTTTATTATAAAAAAAAAATTATTTTAATATATGCAAAATTTTCTTCGTTTTGCCTAAAAATATGTTAGAAAAATTAATGCTTCAATTTAATTTTATTTTTTTTTTTTTGCAGTCATTCAAAATATGCTATATCAACTTAAAACTTGTCGAAATTCAACTATAATCTGATAAATTTTTAGATTTATAAAATAATCTAAAAGAAAAGGAAGTTTTCAAACTAAACATTTGTGGTAAGTTTTAAGAAACTGAAATCATATATAGTGCTTACATGCCAATCAACTAATGTTAAGAACTAAATTAAATACCTATAATCCGATTAAAAAATACATTAATTTAAATATTTATTTTAAGTTTGTATTTTGAAATAAAATGAGTCAAGGGAATATTAATAAGTCAAGGGTGCTCCGTAATTGTATTTGGGACAATAATTCAATAACTACTCCATAATTAATGTTTAAAATAACTATAGAAAATTTTTATTCAGAAAAATTTTAAAGATTCTTCTTGTCTCTCCCTTTCTGCAATCTTTTATTAGCCATATTCAATCCTTTTTCTCAGTTTGTATTTTTGATATTGTACCTTAAAGTTACAGCACATGATTGCTTTTTGAGTTCGCTTTTGAACCAATTATGTTCAATGTGCAACTGTAAAAATTTATGAAAATGTTAATGTACATACACAGTAATAATTAACAATTTTAAAATCTTGAAAAAATGCTTAAATTTAATTTTCAAATAAATTTTAAATGATGAGTAAGCGTGTCTGAACAGAACGGATTTCAACCTAATTTAAAAATTTTTAGCTAAATATTATTTGACGCTATCATTTCGTTAATATAACTGCATCTCTACATTTTATGCAACCATTTCCGAATTGATTTCCGCTTATAAAAATTTCATTCTATTCTAATTATTTTTATTGAATATTATATTGAATTTCCTACAAATTTTATTGATTTTATTTAACTGAATCAATAATTTTCTTGTCATTTTACGGATTTCTGAATTAACAAAAATATGTTCATATATATATACATACATGCATACATATATAGTTAAGAAAAGATAAATACGGAATAACATTATTGAATTTAACAACAGACATGCCATACTCGATTTAAAAGAGCTCAAATCGTTTATCAACCCTAATTTAATTTTTTCCTATATATTCGCCATAATATTTTTTTTTTTATTAATTTCTTTTTCAAGTGTTATTACTATAAATATAAACTTCTCATAATGTACAAACATATGTACGAGGAATAATTCTAAGAAATACAAACTGATGACGAATATTGTATTTATATTTCTGTAAGTAATATACAAAAATATAAGAGAGAAAAGCAGAAAAATTGAAAAAAAAAAAACATAAAATACGTAAATTTTAATCCGACATATGATTATTATTATTGCATTTTATTGCATACTTTCTTCATTTCCCTCTCCTCAAAAAAACGTGTACATATACACTTAATACCGCTATAATATCGTAAACAAATTTAACTCCTTTCTCTACAGAATATAAGTATCTCTATACACAATTTACTATGAAGGTACTTATACACTTATTCAAATGTACTAAAATTTAAAATTCTTGTCTAGTAAAGTACTCTTGTATGTAGTTAAATATTAATCTAATTGTTACGCAGTCGCATAATTTTTCATATCTCACATATTTACTTATTTATAATACATAACTTGAATCACCTTCTCTTTCTCTCTTTCTCTTTTCTTCTTTTCTCTTTCTTTGTTTTTGTTCTTTTTTATATTAACTTGCACTCAATTCCTATATAATATAATAAAATCCTCTTCAAAATTTTCTCCTTATACTCATGTCAAATGCAATTACACCAACAACAAAAACAGTAGTAGTAGCAGCAGCAGCAATAATAGCAACAACAATAATAAGAAAATTTCAATAAAAAATTAAAAAACGGCACAAAATAAAAGAAAAGAAAAATTGCATTCATAAAAAGTGCAACATTCCAAACATAGAAGAAAAAAACACGTGTTTAACATACAAAACAATATCAAAAATTCAGAAAAATTGAAGATAAAAATGAAAAACAACAACAATGAATAAGAACGGCATGACACCATAATAATAACAAAAACAACAAATAACAGAAAAGCGAACCATTCAGAGTAAAAAAAAAACGAATAAAATAAAAAAGTATTATAAAACCCAAACGATGAAAGAAAAATTCGTTGCCAGAATAAAAACAAGAATATAAGAAAAAAAATTTACTTTTAGAACTTTAATATCTACAGTCTTCATATACAAACACACATAGATACGAGTATATAATATATATGTAGATTTACTTGTATGAACACCATGTGCAGATATGAAACTTACATTTTATATAATATTCAAAGTTGGAAAAATTCGCTATAAATTCGTACAAATTTTCAAACACACACCCATGTATGTTATATACGGGAATGCCGTTAAGAGAATCACGATATTGTAGATGGTTTTCTCATATAAATTCGAATAGGATATGAAAATGGAATGAAGAGAAAAAATCATATACATACGAATGTACATAAAGGAATTTTGTTTTCATAATTGGAAATTATGTAGGTACAAAGTAAAAGTATATTTAATTTTATTGAATGTATAAAATTGGCATAATCACAAAATAACTAACTATTCTGAGATTCCGGGGCAAAAAATACATATCTTATTATTGATAATAATAAATCTGCAAGAATAATGCTTGCTATCTATATGAATATGCAATAATTTATTTAAATTTTAAAATTCCTATAACTAATTATTTGAAACTTATCTAAATTACTCATAAATGTTATTACTAACTGTTAAAACAATTGCGAAATTTGTCATTACAACACTCACTTGTAGCAAACAAACAAACTTTTCTAATTAAAATGTCAGGTTACAGGAAAATGAGTCCAATCTGAAAATTCTATTTGTTATTTGTGCATTATAAGATAGTTGTCCCCTTGTCATGCATATTATCAGTAAAATCCTGATGATTTTTATCGTTTTCGTTATAAAAATTCTGACATCATAGATTTGACATTTAGATAATATACATAAATGTATACAAATTCAGATTTTGGAATCAAGATTGGTATTTCAAGGATCGTGAAATGTCTTTTAAAATTTTCAGAAATGTGGTTGGTAATTCAATAGAGCAAATGTTTACTCCTTTGAAAGACATTTTGGAATTTATATGAAAGAGTTCGGAAGGTTCTAGTATAAAGTATTGCGTAGAGCTTCAAGTAGGCATCATATGTATTTATCTAATACGTAAGACACTTCTCTAAGGAACACTTCTCTAAGGAATCATACCACCATATAAATAATGGGAATATCGCTTTGTAATTAACAGTTTAATATCGGAATTAAATCATTTTTTTATAAACAATGATGACTTTCTTTTTACGTATATGTATATATTTTTGGAAAAAAAGAATAAATTTTTTATATAACTAAGATTAAAACTTCGCGCATTTTCTATTTTATTTTGTAAAAATTTCCAATCAATTTCCAATAATTTCGAATATCAAAAAATATTATTAAGGCGACGTACTCTGTACCATTATTTAATCAATGTAAAAATTCATTGTATGTATGTATGTACGTAATAAAAAAAAAATTTTATGTATAAGTATTTGTCCTATTTTGACTCTCTTTAAATTAAAAAAATAAAGAGGAAAAATTATGAAAAAAAATTCTCATAAACGGCAGCAACACAATTTTTACACTTTTGCTCTTGAAAATTTTACAAACAACCAAACATAATAGTACAAAAAAACATATTTTTTCCACTTGCAACGATGCTAATTTTTTTTTTTTCAAAATATTGCTGCTCTTTTTTTGTTTATTTGAACGTAGAGGTAAAAGTTCGAACGTCGCGATAACAAAACAAAAAAATAATGCTTTTTTTTACCACGTGGAAAACTCATACCAACCAAAAAAAAAAATAAAAAAAAATAACAAAAAAATTTAAAAATTTTCAATGTTACCTTTTGGTAGATTCTGCTGATGATGAAATAAAATCTCTGATACTCAATTCAGATTTTTTATATCTATACGAGTATATAGATACATACATATTACATAAACACATACAAATATTATACAAGCATACATACACACATATACTAACAAAATATATATATATATAAACTTTCAAATATTTCGTTTTGAGAGTATAAACCGAAATATTTGAATGAAAGATTCAAGAAAAGACGGGAAAGAATTCGCTATAAGGAAAAATACATACAAAACAACAAGAAAAAAAAAACTGAAAAAAGAAAAATTCAAAACAAGAAAATCAAAATAAAAAAAAAAAAGAGAAAATGAAAATTTTTCACGGCAAGACAGAATTTCGCGACGTCTTTTGTAGCGGTCGCCGCGTGCCAAGATAATCACTGTATCAAAAACAAGAAAAAACAAAAACAACAGAAAATTAAGAAAAAGTAAACAAGAATGGAAAAAACTTAATTTTTTTACGCGATTTGTTGACTGTTCTTTTTGTATTTTTGTTTTTCTTATACTTCATCTCCTTTCTTCATATTACACCATCTTTTTAGCATTTTTACATCATCATTTTTCATATCAATATCATTGTAATCATTTTATCGTCATCACAACATTAAAAAAAAAAAGAAAGGAGATGTGAAAAATTTCGTTTTTCTTATGGTTTTCCTTCCGGTTTTTTGTTTTCTTTTTTTTTTCTACTTTTTATTTATTTTTGTTTATATACGCGCCTTAAGGCTGTTTATTTTTCGTTTTTTTTTTGGCACAAATGGCAAAATTTTTGGTTTTACTACCTTTTTTTTTATTCTATGCATTTAGGATTTTTTTTTATATATAGAGAACAATATAAAAAACAAAGGGGTAAATAATTTATGTACGTGGGAATTTTTTCATGAGAAAATTTTCATAACGTGTAAATAAATTAAGTAGGGATCTGAGCAAATAGCAAAATATTTTATAAATAATAATTGTATACCTAGGTAATTAATGGAAAATTGTTTAATTGAATATTTTCAATTATTGTTCTGTAAAATAATTTTAATAGTTTGTATAATATAGTGAAAAAATATTATAACAAAATTATTTTTTATTGAGTTCACAATGGAGAGCATGAAAATTATAACTTAATATTTTAAAATACTGTAGTATCTGTGTTTAAGGAAGAAGACTATCTAATCTTTTATTAATAATATTTTTTTGAATGAATTTGGTTGAA